GTCATCAACCTAGTTAATGTCAACAAGATAGTCAGCACTCTCCACAGAAATACAAGATATGAGAAACTTTAACTCTTCATTTTAGATGCAGGGGAGTTATTGTAAAAGTAAAAAAGAAATAACTAGTCTGGATTATTGGAGGACACTTCAAATTAAAGATTGATAAAAGTAACAACCAGAAATCTAGACCCATGATATGGCTAACGTAAAAAGATTAGAGTGAAAACTTACATATTTTCTGATCATGGGAACATCTGGAGCAATAATTGGTTTCTCAAAGGACATAGCCTTGATCAAAATCTCTGGAAAACAATGTTCTTCAAGAAGGGATCCATATACCACTACATCTGCTATACCAAGTACGGAATCGGCATTCAAATCTCCAGCTATGTGCTCTATAATACCTCTTGGGTATTTCAAGCTATGCGCCATGGTCTAGTGTAACAGAGTACAAGATGAGAAAACTTCAAATTATTTAGCCAAAAATCAAAGATAAGGTGGGTATATACCTCAAGAGCCACACTGTAATTATTTGTTAATTCTCTACTATGAACAATGATTCGTAGTCTTGCACTGGCATTATCTTTGTTAATAGGGAAATCTGTCACAAGTGGTTCTAAAGCCCTTAAAACAATGGCATGCCCCAACCACATGCCCTTGTACAGAAATTGACTGCTCACAATTGCAATAATCACATCTTCGGGGTCATAGCCCATATTGACACGCATATTATCTTTATGTAAGGCCATAAATGCTTCTGCTTCTAATGCTTCAGCAGGGGAACCAGGAATAACGAAAAAATTTCCAGCATCAAATGTGGAGTAAATCATCTGTGGAATTACAAAATAATCATGTCACAGGTATGATTTCAGTGTATCAAACATTAAATAAATAATTTGGCCCATACATATTACCGGCAAAGCATAGTTTGGAAAGACAACAACTGTTGAACGATTGAAAACTCTTCCCCAATCGTTCAAAAATTCTATCTGCCCATTAGTGGTATATTGCCTTGATCGATAAGCAAGAGCATTTTCATGAACAATCCATATAAGAGGGATGGACTTGAAAGGTTCCTGCAAAAAGCTGTACAAAATAAAATCATTCGTGTTACTTGAAAGGATATCCGTGCCAGAAACCTCAAATACAATTCATGGATGCAAAGGCAGCAAGGGATTCAGGAAACAACAATCAAGTATCATACCATGAAAAGGCACCTTTGGCTTCCAGAGAGCTCACAATTATACCATCATAGCTGGGAGGAAACAGACATTAGCTTCAATGTTGACAAGATATACAAACATCAAAAAGATTAAAGAAACAGTTATTTTATCAGCCTAAGTTGCTATTTGATTCGGATTTCCACACATTTCAATTATTAAACTATTCAAAATTCTTTTTTGTTATCAGCATACAAATCGCTTAGTCCAGAAGTAAAATTAGAAGAACAATCATACTTTAGCCAGTCCACAGTGTTGTTTCGCTTATCACAAGTTCTGACGATAGAAATGGGAACTCCTAACTTTCTCCACACATTATGCCCTGGTCCATCTTCAAGTGAAAAGACCTGCAAAACATAGAGAGTACCTGGGCTAAAATAAACATAAAATTGATTGAAAATAAATGTTAAAAATGATGTCGGCAAAACATCTTAATAATTTAGCCTCACTTTGACTAGTCACAATTCTCTTAAGGACGTCAATCTACATTTTTAAACCCGTAAGCCTGCTTCGATTTTCAAATACGTGATTGCCAAGATTCTATGAAGCATTTGAAAGTTGAAGCCAATAGTCAAGTAAACACAGATACAACAAACTAACACTTTTCCTATAATTCGACATACTGTCCATCCAGAAACAAAGCACCACATTCATCCAGCACTAGTGCACTCAGAGAGACATTGATGATTTAGCTGGCTCCCCATTCATTGTAATTTCCCTAAACAATTTTACAATATAAAATGCCGAGAACAAACTGTAAACGGAGTACCTGGATTTCATAGCCAATCTCTTGCAAAGCAGTTGCAACTGTTACCATAAGTAATTGGTGAGAATCAACCAACAGTTCTCCAAACACCTTCAAAAGAAATCAAAATCACATTNCCAGCTTCACAAACCGAACGGTTTATCTGGAAGCTCTTGACGTCGGAAGTGCTTCTACGGTGCCGGAATAGTGATCGGAGGAGAGAAAGTGAGTGTTTTTCTCAGAGAGAAGATGAAGAGGAGGTAGAGAGAAGGAGGAGAAAAATGGGATTCTTCAGAAATTTGGAAAGAGGGTGCATGCAGAGAGTGGAGTGGATTTTCTGAAAATCCAAGTTTTGCTTCACACTTCAAAACGAACGTCCCATCTTTTGTTGACACCTGCTTTCCATTAACTGATCTTCGGATCCGCTTCGCCTGACACCTGGCGTTCGTCATCTGAGTGTCGAGCCCTCTTCTTGACACGTGAACCCCAATAAAACGATACGTGCGTGGCTTTTTACTGGTTCTGACACATATATTCATAAATATTTAAAAAATATATTTTATAAAATTTAAAATAAAATTTAAATAAAATATAAAAAAGTAAAATTTAAATTATGGCTAGTCAAATTTTATTTGGGTTCTAGTGATAATTAACATAGAAATTTTTATATTATTTAGAGATATGTTAGCACATAACTGATTTTATCGGATAAATTATAACTAACATAATAAGTTGTGATATAAAACTATTTTTGCAAGTATTTTTTTACTTTTTACTTATTCTTTTGATAAGAAAAATTTAATCGATCAACAATTGGAAAAATATAATTTCGATTGTTGGAAGTTTTACATCAACTAAAATAAGATTAATTTATAGTATATAAGTGCATACAAATCTCACCTTACAAACCAATTTTGAGAGGTTAAGTTAAAGTTTAAAGCTCACTTCTTAACATGGTATCAAAGTTAAATATTATCCTAGTGAGATTTATTGTTTGCTAAACATATTGCTCCATTCACTATCACCATTCATCAATATTTAGTTTCATATTCAAAATGTATATACCTTAGCATAAAAGGTGCGTTAGAATTCTACATTTACTATAAATAAAACTAATTTATAGTATATAAGTGGGTGCAAATCTCATTTTACAAATCGATTTTGTGAGATTGAGTTAAATTTACAATTTTCCTTTTAACATGATATCAGAACCATTATTAAAATTTATCTTAACAAGATTTGTTGTTTATTAAACATATCATTCTTTACATGTATTATGATAAAAGTTAGACGAAGGATTACTCAACCAAATTTTATTTTTCTTACACGACTTGTTAAGAAAAGATTAGATCTTAAAATCTTATGAAACGATATATGCACACGAGTATCTAATATAAATATTTCCGGTGGCATAATCATGGTAGGAAAATTATATTAATTTTTTTAAAGACCNTTGATTGAAAATAAATGTTAAAAATGATGTCGGCAAAACATCTTAATAATTTAGCCTCACTTTGACTAGTCACAATTCTCTTAAGGACGTCAATCTACATTTTTAAACCCGTAAGCCTGCTTCGATTTTCAAATACGTGATTGCCAAGATTCTATGAAGCATTTGAAAGTTGAAGCCAATAGTCAAGTAAACACAGATACAACAAACTAACACTTTTCCTATAATTCGACATACTGTCCATCCAGAAACAAAGCACCACATTCATCCAGCACTAGTGCACTCAGAGAGACATTGATGATTTAGCTGGCTCCCCATTCATTGTAATTTCCCTAAACAATTTTACAATATAAAATGCCGAGAACAAACTGTAAACGGAGTACCTGGATTTCATAGCCAATCTCTTGCAAAGCAGTTGCAACTGTTACCATAAGTAATTGGTGAGAATCAACCAACAGTTCTCCAAACACCTTCAAAAGAAATCAAAATCACATAAATAGAGAAATAAATTTTCATAGATCAACCATAACGAAAAACTCATACAGCACTAAAAATTACTTAACAACAAACTTGACTCTAACTTCAACAGTTCCAAATTGATGTAAACCTACCCCCAATAATAAAAACCATGCTGAAGTGAACCACATGCACAACCTAAAAACACCAATGGATAAAAAAGTATTTGAAAATGGTTAAACTAACCAATGCAAGCTGAGGCTTCCTGTATCCAAAATGTTGCGCTGTGTGGTTAAACAAACCCGCATCCATGCCCTCACCACCACCTCTCCTAAATTTCTCCAAAATCATTGGCAAAAGAAGGGCATCCTCCCCAATGTCCAACACAACCTTCTGAATTTCTCCATAATGGAACAAATTATCAGACCGCATTCTCACAGCTTTCAAGGACTCATCATCGGAGTTTTCCACAACCGACCCTGGCAGAAACATTTGGAACACAACGACCAAGCACAGAAACACCACCACCGTACAAATCCATTGCAAGTAATCGAGCTTCTTAAAGAGCAACCTCGAAAAGCTCGATCTGAACCTGTGAGAAAAAGGATTCTTCTCTTTTCTAGTAAACTGAGTACCAAACAAGCTCCCCTTCTTCAATGGGATCCCAGATTCCAAGGAACCCATTAGAGTCCCATCAATTGGGTCGCAGCAGAATGGGAAAAAGCTTCAAACTTGGGCGAAAACTGGCATGCAGACTAACACCCAGACGCCTGCCCTTCAATGGGGATTCAACCAGAGCTGAAAAAGACCCAAACTTTGTGCTTGAATTCAAGAAAAAGACCAAGAAAGATTCTGGGTGTGAGAAAACTGGGTTCTGATGTGGATTTGGGTGATTTGAGGTGGGAACTGTTCAGTGAATTTACTTAAGACGAAAGAAAGAAGGAAGAAGAAGAAGAAGATTTGACGAGTGGGAAGTGGATGCACACGGTAGAGACAATGCCCAGTGAGCTGAAGACTCGGGAACGAAACGAATCTAATCTGAAAAAAAAATTAAAAAGGAAAAACAAAACGAAAATTAAATGGATCCATATTTTTGCTGTCTGAAAGGGTAACTACAAATGTGTGCTCTTTTTATTTATTTATTTATTTATTTATTTGGCAAAAATGAAAGTGTTCTATATCTGTGTTAAATAAACTTCAACAAATCTTGTTCTGCTACCTATTTGGAAATGAAATGCTAATATCTTGTCACGCGCATTGGGTGAAAAGCGTAGGGTCACGCGTGCAGAGAAAAAGTTGTAGAAAAAAAAAATCAGTATGAAGTATTCTGAAACCCTTTGATGTGATTGATTATTGAGCTTTTTTTCCATATAGGTAGAGTCTCAATATTATAGCAGAAACTAAATCTGCATAGAGACTTTATGAAATTTCAAATAAAGTCAATATGATAATTTATTGGCTTAATACCTGTTTTGTCCCCACTTTCGCTCGAAAATGTCAAATTAGTCCATCTTTTCAAAAATGCGTCAATTAGGTCCTTACTTAATAAAATTTGCATTAATGAAATCATTTCCGTTAAATCCGTACAAACTGCGTTAATTATCTAAGTAGAAGAAAGAGAAAAATAATTAACGCCGTTTATACGGATTTAACGGAAGGGATTTCATTGATGTAAATTTTATCACGTGAGGACGTAATTGACGCATTTTTGAAAGAATAGACTAATTTAACATTTTCGAGTGAAACTGAAGATAAAATAAAGTATTAAACATAATTTATTCAAGGTGAATGCTACCCAGAACTAGTTATGTGAACCGTTATTTTAGCTTTTAGATTAATCAAAAGCATAAGTTTTTATTATTCTACTTTATTTTTAGTATGTATTATTGCTTTACTCTGCTATCTCATGATTTCCATGGTGTTCTTGTTGATGCTAATTCATTATTTAAGTTCATTTTTTCTCATCTTCCTTTGCCAGTGCCTTTGATATCACAATTATCTAATGTTTGAGGTTTTACTTATTTTTCTATTGAGTTTGAGTTGGATGATTTGATGAGAGGTTGGAGATTTATTGCATATTCCTAATTTCCTGTTTATATCATAAATGCATGGATAGGTGTGTGGAACAAACCTAGAAGCAAGGATAATTATGATTGTGTTTTAGGGAAATTATTATCTGAAGTGGTAATGGAAAATATTACTCCGCACACAAAATATTATTAAGGAGGTGGTGGAAATAGAAATGAGAGCATGTCAGATCCAATGCCAACAGTGTTTACTATTTGATTCTTAATAAAAAAAAATTGCTTGTTATAAATTTATTATTCAGATACCGGATACGAATTTAAAAAATATTTATACATATTTTAAAATCTTCGGACATTTGCATATTATAAAATTCCAAAAATACAGTAATGAACCATAAGATAGAATAATTACATTAATAATAATTTAGATTAGTCTTACACTAGAGTCGAGCGTACGCTCATGGCCGAACGGCCTTACAGAAAGAGTTACAAATTTAAGTCGTACATCGCTACCCAAACTATCCGACCGGTTTACAAAATAACCATACCGATCGTTCATACTTAAACAAAAGGGAAGTGAGCGAACGTCCACCTTACTATAACTAGACTATTGACCGAACGTCCTACTCTTCGGTCTTGACTTCGATTTCTTCCAAATTTTCTTCTTTCAGCGCCTTTTCCAGCAGCTCGACTCCTTCTGCTCACATCCACACGGATGATCATTGC